ACCATCTAATATTGAATCTCATATGAAATCATATATAACTTTGACTGTGGTCTCTAAATCAATTTTCTTTAAATCAACTTGATTTTTTTGTCTGTGTGTATATATAATGGTGTATATTTTATATCAATATATTAATAAAAAATATTAGCTCATAAAAATTCAATTGATATGTGACATGGATTGAATGGAGCAAATCTTTTATATATATAAGCTTCAAAACGTGAGCTTTAGAAGTATGGCCAAGTTTAGAAAATTTTGACCAATTACCACTGAGTTGGACAATATTTAACATACTAATTTTATTTGTATAAGATCCTTTTCTTAAGCTAGATTGAATGGATAAAAAATAGCCTAAGAAAACACAACCGTTATCAACTCAATATTCTCCTAAATATAGAACAATTTTCACATTCAACCATTATTTAAAGCCTTCATGTTTCTTCAAAAAAAAACCACTCACTCACACTTGCAATATGCTGCCTACACAATAAACATTTCTTGGTTTAATTGGCATTGGTGCTAAGGTCATTTGATTGTAAGATTAATTCTAAGACCTTGGAAATCCTTGCCAGAAAAACCAAGAAAATATATCATAGAAACTTTTGCAAACCAACAATAAAAAATAAGTTAAGATATATTCAAACATTGGAATAAAAATGGCAAGTAAAATTGCCATTACTTTCTTGGTTTTTGCTATTGCTATTCCATGCTTTGAAGCTGGTATTGCTGAGTTTGATGATTATCTTAAAGCACAAGCTAATTTAGCTCGTGAAATTGCTCTTAAGTCTTATATTCCGAATCCAGAAAATATTACAACTGAGATCAATCATCATGTCCATATGTAATTTACTATAACTCTTGTCTTGTTATATGATCAAATATATTATAAATTTATTCGTATTCAATATCATATATCTCAGTCGTTAGATCAAGATTGGAGAATCTATATTTGAATCGTCCAATCTTGACAGAAACGATTGATCAAAATGTGTATAGTTTTCATGAATTTGAATTGTATAGGGCAATGCAAGAGGCAATGGCGGAGGAGGAATATTCAAATAACACAAGGAGGGAACTAAGACAAGGACATAGAGGTCGGCGTGGTAAACAACTACCTTGCATGGCCTCTAATCCAATCGACCGTTGTTGGAGGTGTAACAAGGATTGGGCTAAAGATCGTCAAAGGTTAGCCAATGTGGTAAAGGTTTTGGTAGAAAGGCGGTAGGAGGACTTGGTGGAAAGTACTATATTGTCACAGATCCTTCCGACAATGATATGGTTAACCCAAAACCTGGCACTCTCCGTCACGGTGCTGTTCAAAAGGGACCACTTTGGATTATTTTCGCACATAGCATGGTCATTAGATTGAATCAAGAGTTGATGGTTTCATCCGACAAGACAATTGATGGTCGTGGTGCCCAAGTTCACATTAGGGATGGTGCTGGAATTACAATGCAATTTGTGAACAATGTCATTATTCATGGTCTTCGCTTAAAGAACATTAAGGCTAAGAATGGTGGTATGATTAGAGACGCTTTTGATCATGTTGGACTAAGAACAAGGAGTGATGGTGATGCCCTCTCCGTCTTCGGTTCATCAAACATATGGATTGATCATATTTCTTTATCCGAATGCGAGGATGGTCTTATTGATGTTATTCAAGGCTCTACCGCAATTACCATCTCAAATTGCCATATGACCAAACATAATGATGTAAGTATAACCAAAATGTTTCATGGGCGCACAATTTTTTTTCTCGGACACTTAATAATCACATGCAAAATTATGGTTAATTCAGTCGACTTATATATTTTCTCAGACACGTAATTAATCACATGCAAAATTGTGGTTAATTCAGTTGACTTATATAACTTATGATACAAGTAACTAATTTATTAGATGAACGTATCTATAAATTTCAGGTTATGTTGTTCGGAGCTAGTGATAAATACACCGATGACAAGATTATGCAAATCACAGTTGCATTCAACCATTTCGGACAAGGATTGATTCAAAGAATGCCAAGGTGTAGATGGGGATTCTTCCATGTTTTGAACAATGATTACACACATTGGATCATGTATGCAATTGGTGGAAGTTCAGAACCAACAATTCTCAGTCAAGGAAACCGTTTCATCGCTCCTAACAACAATGCTGCAAAGACAGTCACACATAGAGATTATGCAACAGAAAGTGTTTGGTCGAAATGGCAATGGAGATCAGAAGGTGATTTCTTCATGAATGGTGCAACATTTATTCAATCTGGTGCTCCTATTAAGAATCTTCCATTCAAGAAAGGGTATCTGATGAAACCAAGACATGGATCACAGGCTAATAGGCTTTCACGATTTTCTGGGGCACTCAGTTGCAGGGTGGGTAGGCCTTGCTAGAAAAATTAATGTTCATTTAAGTATTCATTGATGTACTTAAATTTATATGAAGAAAACAATAAGAACATAATTTTTATTAGAAATTTTACTCCTTCATTAGCTTTGATCTAAAAAAAAAATAGTATTTCTAATATTTTACATTAACATTAATAGTGTATCACTCCCATTCAAGCAATGGAAAGTTGCTAATATAAAGTGCAAAAATTAAAATCTATCAATTCATTTTGTATTTGTTGTATCAACAACCTCATGTGTGTCACAGATCACAGCAACCACTGCTTCAACTATCTTTGAATTCGATTGTAGATTTTTCATCACGGTATGTAAACCACTACTAGGTCAGATTTTAGACTTTAACGACGATCATTTAAAAGTATTATTATGAAAAGAGCTATTAAAAGTAGGGAGAAAATTTACCACATTTAAAAAAAAAATGATGATATTTGAATAGTAAACAAAATTTATTTTTCTTAAAGGATTTACATCGCTTCATTTGAAAAAACGTTCATAACCTATTAAGAAAATTACTAAAAAAAACTATTTTAATAACATTTTTTTTTATAAGTCTCTTAGAAACCGCAACACTTTTATGAAAAACCAGTGTCTTTTTTCTATAATTTATATTTTTAAGAAATCACATGAAATTCAGCAATGTTTTTATTTATTGATAAAAATCACTGCTTTTTTATGTGTAATTCTTTTAAGAATGCCGGAAATATTGAATAATTAAGCTTTCAAGAAGAAGAATAAACAAAGAAAAAGAGAGAGAATAGAGAAAACTATATTAAAAATAAAAAGAGAATTTATTTAAAGTGGAGTTTTGTTAAAACTGTACATCTACTTTGAATTACAACATCATGTATATTTATTGACAACCAATGCCCAAGTCCAAAATATATAACTCAAACTCAAAACATAAAAAGTTACACTTCGACCTAACAATCGTATATCGTATTTGACTCTGTCGAATACAATTGACTCTAGAGGTACTTTGACTAGGTTGCATAACCTTGTCGAACATAAACTACTTCATGAAACCATAAATTACATCTTCTAACACACCTCCTAGTTTATGTTTCAAGAACTTCTCATCCTGATGCTTCTCTTCAACTCATCAAACTTGAATTTCTTAAGGGCTTGGTGAGTATATCAGCTAGTGCTAACTGAAGTTATGATTTGCAATGCTCAAGTTTAAGCTTTCATTTATTTACTTGATCCCTGAGAAAATGATACATCCTCTCTATGTGTTTACTTCGACCATGACATATAGGATGATTGACTAGGTCGATAGTTGACTTGTTATTGACAAACAACTTCACTTTCTTTGATTCCATGATCTTGAACTCTTCTAGTAGCATCTCTATTCATGTTACTTGACATGTTGCATACGATGTAGCCATGTACTCAGTTTCACAAGATGACAAAGTCACAATACTTTGCTTCCTTGAGCTCCAAGAGATTGGAGCGCCTTCTATCATAAATATGTAGCCTGCAATACTCTTTTTCTAGTATTGATCTCCACTAAAATATGAATCAGTGTAGCCATATACCTTTGCATCTATGTTGGTCTTCTTTTGTCTTAAAATCAGCCACCATGATCAATCGTACCCTTTATTCATCTCAGCACCCTTTTAACTGTAGTGAGATGACATTCTTGGGATTTCTCCAAGAATCTTCTCAACAATTCGACACTTTAACAATTATCTGGCCTGGTATTGCAACGATACCTCAAGGATCCAATGACTTGTTTGTATAGTGAATCACTTACAAACTCGTCATTTGTATTCTTCCTCAACTTTACTTCAGTCTCTAATGGTGTGCCAGCTGCATTACAGTTTCTCATATTGAATCTTTTCAAGATATCTTGAGCATACTTCTTTTGGTGCAACAACACTCATTCACTTGTATCTTTAAACTACATCCCTAGAAAATGTGACATGTTTCCCATGTCAGACTTTTCAAACTCATGCATCAGCCTCAACTTGACTTTTCTCATCTCTACTTCATATGTACATGTAATCAACAAATCATCTACATACATGCATAAAATGATTCGACTCACCCTGTCTGCATTATTGACATACACTCCATGTTCAGAGACACACTTTGTACAACCTGCTTTGAACATGAAGTTATATATTCTCTTATTCCAAGCTCTTGAAGCTTATTTCAAGCCATATAGAGCCTTCTTCAATCTTTACACCTTAGACTTCTTCCCTTTGACTTTGAATCCCGGTGGTTGACTGAAATAGACTTCTTCTTCCAATGGTCCATTCAGATATGATGACTTTACAACTAACTAATGTATCTTTCACCCTCTGTATTTAGTGAACACAATAATTCTGAGTGTCTCCAACCTTGCCACAGGTGCATAGAATTCGTCGAAATCACTACCAGATTTTGCAGAAAATCTCTCGCTACTACTCTTGCCTTATGCTTGGACATTTCACTGTTTTGCCTTCATTTCAACTTGTAGACCCCATTCACATCAATTGGCTTGTTTCTAGCTCTTTATACAATCTCTCGGGTCTTATTCTTCTCGATTTCCCCGAGTTTTTCTTGCATGGATGCTAACCAATTTGAACTTCTCATGGGTTGATCCAAATTGATTGGTTTTGATATAGCCATCACCATCACTTCTTTTATTAAGTCACCATCTGCATCGACTGATTTATCTAGAAAACTCTCATATCCAGCTAGCCTTGTCGACTCAATTCTTGTTCTAATCGATCTTTTGACATTCTGCTCAGGTGGCTCTTCATTTTAATTGGTTGTGACTTTTGTTTGTTGTTCTTCTTCTTCTAGCACAGTTAGGATTGTCTCTTCCACGTGTCGACCTAACTCTTGAGTCTAATTCCACCTTTTGCTTTCATCCACTGGAACATCTCTACGGATCACTAGCTTATCATTATTTGGTGAATACAACTTGTATGCACCAAATGAGTGATAACCTATGAGCACAATGGTCTGACTTCGATCATCTAGCGTCTTCCATAATTTTTCAGGAACATGCCTAAAACACATTGATCCAAAAACTCTAAGATGGTTGACATTTGAACTATTTCCTGTCCAAGCCTCATTAGGTGTCTTCTCGACTATCTTTTTAGTTGGGCATTTGTTTAGAAGGTATATTGTTGCCGAAGATGCTTCACCCTAAAATTTCTCTAGCATATCTTTAGCTTTCAACATGCTCCTAGTCATGTTTAGTATACTTGTATTTCTCCTCTCATCTATACCATAATGTTAGGGTGTATATGGTGCAATGACCTCATGCTATATACCTTCACCGTTGCAAAATTTTGCAAATTCTTTAAAGGTGTATTCACCACCATCACCTGTTCTCAGTTTCTTTAACTTGCATCCACTTTGTTTTTCCACATGACTTTTAAACTTCTTGAATTGTGTGAATACCACACTCTTTCTTTCAATATGTTAAATCCACATATATCTTGTGAATTCATCTATGAAAGTTCGGAAATAACAGTTACCTCCATTTGAACTTACTTCAAAAGGTCCACACACATCAGAGTGAACAAGCTCCAATTTTCCTCTCAAATTTATGGACAAGTCATGTTTAAATTCTCTCCTAGCCTGCTTTGATTTACAATATTCCTCACATACATGACTTGGTTCTTATACATGTGGTAAGACATTCCCCATCTTATTCTAGTTAAGCCTAGACCTCTGAAGCTTAAGTGTCCATACCAGTGATGACGTAGCCAGTTCCTGTCTTTGACAGTGGTCAAAGTAATACATTTATGATCATCATGTTGATCTCTACTTTGAAGGTCTTGTTGTCGGCCAATGGTTCTTTTAGAATCAGCCTTTCATCACCATCATCACCTTCATCTGCTTCTTTTCTAGCTTCATTTCGTACCCTTTAACATGTAATTGACCTATGCTTATCAAGTTACTTGTCATCGAAAGTACATACAACACATCAGTTATGCTGGCATTTTGGCAATCCTTTCTAACCACATATATGTTTCATTTTCCACTTATTGTGATGTGCCTGTCATCCGCAAACGTGATCAATTTCTTGAGTGATTCATCTAACTTGGTGAACCAGGTTTTATTTCTAGCCATATGGTTGTTGCATCCTGAATCTAGGTACTACATGTTGGTTTGTTGTTTTTTCGATTGAGTATTTTCCATTAGTAGTACATCATCAGAATCACTATCTCCAGCATGTTCATACTTCACTTCATCATTATCTTTTTCTCTTGCTTTTTTCTTTCATTGACAATCTCGAGCATAATGATCAAACCCTTAACAGTTGTAACACTGCATCTCCTTCATGTCAATTTTATGCCACGAATACTTGGTACATGTGTCTTTCTTGGTTGGATCATAGTGATTTTTTAAATTCTTGCTTGACTTCTCATCATTAGCAAGATTCCTTTTCTGCTTCGCATTCACTTTTCTAGACTTCTTGATGAATCTTCCTGCAACGCCTATTCAGTCACCTTCTTCCTTTCTGAGTTCCTCTGCTTCAGCCTCATCTCATGAGCTTCCAATGAAGTTTGAAGTTCTTCCAACTTCATCTTATCTAGGTTCTTAGACTTTTCAATTGACACTACAAAGCAATAAAAATTTACAGTTAAAGATCTCAACATTTTATCAATCTTTTGCAAATCAGTGATTGATTCACCACACATCTTCATCTAGTTTGTTAACAACATCACTCGTAAGAAGAATTATGAGATTGATCCATCTTCCTTCATCTGATTCATCTCAAATTTCTTTCTCACCGTCTGCAACTTTACCCTCTTCATCTTTTCATCTTCGTCGTACAAGTTCTTCAACTTGTCCCATGCTCCTTTGGATGTTACCTCTTCAATGATCTTCTCGAACACGTTAGGATCCACACACTAGTGAATAAAAAATAGAGATTTTCGATCTTTCTTCCTTTGATCCTTAGGTGCAAATTTATGAACATCATCTACATTCACTTCTAATGTCAGTATTCTAACATTCACGATTTCAGACACGTTTTGAAA